TAATTGGTGAAATGAGGTAGAAAAATGCGATAAAATTAGCTCAAGAAAAATGAGGTAGAAAACATAAAAACTCAACTCAATATCAGATAAGATTTCCGGTTAACATGCATCAAATCTCTGCAATAGATATATTCGATTTACAGACTTACATACATGAATGCGAGCTGATTGGATATGTAAAAGAATTGAATCATCTAAGGACTCTCGTATTGCACGCAGTGGAAAACATTCGTTAACGAATCTCAGATAACAATCTCGCTGTAAGTCAACATCTTGTGTACAGAAGATTCACAACCCTCTTGCAACAAATTGCAGTAAATGTTAGAACTCGACAAATCAAAGTATTCTGCATCTGCAACCTTTTGACTCCTGGGGCCCTTCAAACCATCGATCCCATGATGTGTTGACTGGTCCGTTTGTTCTGTATATTGAATTAAATCAATTGAATTATAGAGTAAAAGCTGGTGAGGATTGAAGGCTGAGAAAAAGATTGTCAAGTGTTGAAAAAGTTACAGTGGCAGAAGAGGATCAGGCCTTGTTTCAATGTTTTGCAGCAACCTGATGGACATCAACGGAACAAACATCATTCTGTACCGATTTATCACATTTAACCTTAAAATTCTAACTTATCAGTTATGCTGGAAAACTAATGATTAAGTGCCAATTAGGCCATACAGCCAACAGAGGAGTTAAAAAACTGGGAAGGCTCTGTTACATGGCTGCTGAATGAGCAATCCACGTCAAAGAAATTCCAGATTTCGCTTCTCTACCTTTGCTTGTTGGGTGAAAGAAAATTTGAGCTCATTGGCTACTACCTCTTTGTCTTTTATAGAAGCATTTATCATTTTCTAAGCTCTTTTTAAGGAAAATAATGTTTTTGTACTTACTCCTCACACAGGGTCGATACATTATCTGTTTGGTCGATCTCTGCCAACTCCTCCTGTATAAAATGCATAGGAAAAAAGAAGGAGATTTGATGAATCAGAAAAATCAGGCATGTGAGTGTTAAAGAGATTCATTTTTGCAGCAGAATAATGATATTGCAGATAAAACTAAAACTTGTTTATCTAAAATTTTAAACTGCCCCACCTTTGACTGGAAAAGTAGTAAGCTGAATATATATGATGCATTCAAGGGGATGGTGGTGTTGAATTTGTTTCCAGCTCTTACTTCCTATTTGTACATGAGAAAGCCTTGTATGTATGATGCAGGACATGTAAAAAAAAACACCAACTCAATCTGAAACTTGGTACAAGTAGCGCATAACTACAGCTTCTGACACTGATATCCACAGTCCTTACTGTTATTTAGTTTCCTTATATACTTGATCACAGGAAAACACCAAGCGATATTGCAGAATGAGTGCATCAACCTGGCTAGCCACATGCAACATAACTATGCACTACATCTCCATTCACTCGAATGTATGCACTGCTTGAGTATGTAGTATTCCACTATTTTCCATTGTAACCCAACAAAAGACTAAGGTATAAAAATAGAAATACTATAAAAAATTTGAACTCCGTGGCTAAATTGTGATTGTGTTGGGAGCAAAAAAATTCCAGGAAATTTTCTGCAGTCTTGGTGGTTGAATAAATACAAAGAAAATCACCATGTGGTATAACCTCGTTATCCATGAAGAAGCAGTGGATTGCAGAATAAAAGAACTCGAAGAGAAGTTCATATACATTAGCTTAATGGGTTAATGGGACAAAGGACCTTCAACATTGACATTATGCCGTCCAGTCTAGAAATACAGAAGAATCCATAGTATAATTTTGTGCTTTCCAATCTCAGACATTTTCTTTTGTTCTTCATTCTCTTCCAAACAGGAAAAGACGAAAGCAAAATTCTATTACTCCCAAAAGAAAAAGCAAATCAGGCAACATCCAACTTTTCCCATGACTTTGCCACTTCTATCCTCATCCTTTTGAAATCAGAAAGAAGCT